TAATAATTCCGTCTATATATATATTTTACAAAAAGCAAAGAGAATAGCAGAAATAAAGAAAAAGAATAAAAGGGAGTAAGTTGATAGGTTCGATAATCGATGAGATATATATATATATATATTCTTTGAATTGGAATAGTAGAATAATACAGACGTTTATACGTACAATATGTACATCCTATCATTCTGTAATATCGTACTTATCGATAATGTGAAGAAATAGATGATAAATCTACTAGAATGGGGTGCTCACACTGTCCATTCGAGTATCCAATATTATGATACAAATTTTTCAAATAAATAAACTTATTGTTAAGTCGTCAATATGATGAGAAATATTACATCGAAAGGAAAATTATATATATAAAGTATAATGAAAATACACGTCAATAATTTAGAAATATATTTCTTATATGTACAAAATTAAAGCCAGGTTTGGACAGAACACTAACTTTTTTTTAATTTTACACGGTTGCAAGGACTCATTAGGACCATACACTATGCAAGTAGTAAGTTTACATATTTGAAAGTCATACAATTAAATATAACTGAAAAATTAAACATTTTCAAATTCATATTGATATTTTCTTTTTTTTTTTTTCTTTACAAATAAGAAATCCATTTGTGAAATTTTACTACATATTTTCATTAAATCATGTATCTATATATAAAAAAAAAAAAATTGAAAGAAATACAAATTGAATATCTTATCATCCATCGTAAAAACAGAAGTAAGATGTCGGATATACAAAATGCATTGATGCAAAAAAGTAGAACGCGTCGTTGATCGTCACATTGAAAAAAAAAAGAAAAGAAAAGGGCTAACAAAAAGATGTTGGATAAACTCGAAGAAGAAAAAGAAGAAGAAGAAGAAAAGGAAGAAGAATCCGCAAATCCAGATATTTTTCTGGAGAATTACGAAGAAAACCGGTAAAGAACCTTACGAGGGTGTTCGTAAGGGTGTTCAAGTTCGTAGCACGGACTCGTGGCAAAAGCCCTCAGTCCTCTGCATCAAAGCGTAGGGTCAAGGCTCACTCGACCCATTTCCTACATCATCATATCGTGCAAAAGCACGGGTGTGCATGCAGATACATACATTGCATAGAAGCTATAACAAAAAATCCTATGGTACAAAGAGAATCTAAAAATATTTACTTTTTATTCTGAATATATGTTATACGTGATTAAATTTCATGATAAATACATTATTTCTTATGCTCCCGTGTTAGAATTTTCACTTATCTTTTGATTTTATTCCAAGAAAAAAAATGTATTTAATTTTATAAAATAATATTTTCAAATTTTTGAAAATCCTATCAAAAATCTGACGATAGTTTTCATTACTCCGTATTTTTATTCTACCCAATTTTCATTACATTTACAGTACCGTAAAAAAATAAAATACAATAGGGGTTTTCTTTTAAATAATTATACGATACACGTCTTAAAATATAGTATTATAATGTAAATATAATACAGTAGGAATGGTCACCGTAAGTACAAGCAGATATTGAAACAAAATCAAAGTTTGCGTTTTCATTTTCATTTTCATAATTTTCGAAGGAAACTTAATTTAAACCCTTACTTCAATAGAGAAACTTTCTCTCTTCAGATTAGGTAATCTTCACTTAGAACTCAATAAAACGAAATATCACTTATTCATTACATTAGGATTTACAGTGCAGTATAAGCAAGTATTGATACTAAATCGAAAAATATTTCTTTTTTGTTTTATACTTTTATACATCAAATTTCATTAATTTCATTTAACTATGACATATATAACAAAAAGAAATTTATTTTCTCGTGCATTGAACTTGTTCTCATTTCATTGTTGATTTACTCTTTCTATCTTTCTTTGTCGGAGACATTTCTTGGTGCTTCAGTTGGCAAGTCCAGCATCCCTTTTTGTATTTCAGTTAGCATCAAAAGGATTCCCAAGTTCTCTATATCTGCCTCGCCAATTTCCTCGCAAATGAGAAACGTCGACTCGTGCTAATTAACACACGACGACCGTACTACTGGACTCTGACCACGTTCTTCATGACAATAATTATTGAGAGAGTTCTATCATCCCTTTTTAGAGAAAATGAAAGAGAAATACTGAGAAATAAAGAGAGAGAAAGCAAACTATGACCAGGCTTTATGTTTGTCGACTTCATGGACAATGAAAATCGGGAATTAATCATCTTCTGTGTCGTCTTCTTCTTCTTTAGCATATTAATTAAATCTTTTAATTGCAAGAAACGTTGCATTGAAGGGAGTTGAAAAACAAAAGAAGAACAAAGTTTCCTTCGAAATCAGATCTACAAGATTATTCTTATTCGAAGGATTAAAAACAGCCATCATTTTCTTTGTACTCGTTTCAAATTCTAAGATTTTTAAAGTAGCATTTTTCAACTTATATAGACTGCAGTCCAAGATTAAAATGATAATAGAGCTACCCTACGCCGAAACGTAAAAATTAATATTGTGAGCCATATTTTAAAAACAATTATTTAAATCTATTAGATTCCTACAAATTTTTAATCATAAACATTACACACAAAAATATAATTTTATATTCAAACGAAATTATAGAAATATGGGATGACGATTAATATTTCGAATAAAGATAAAAATATTGAAAGTGTTAGAATGCGTAGTATATGTTTGACTATTGCAGGAATGTTCAATCATTTAACTTTCTTGAGCCATATTTGAATAGACAAAATTGTCTCTAAAAATATACTGATTCCAACGAGAGTTGTTAATTTAAAAAGTTATGAAATAATGTACAACATTACGTTTTAAGAAAATTGATGACTTAAAATTGGATTGCATGCAGTCTCACAGTTCGCGAATTGGACAAACCTGGTATACAGCATAGCTATAGTATAAAGGAATAGTGGTATACGTCAAGTATGGTCAGCCAACGGTGTGACGGAGCATTGTGTGGTTTCCTATGACAAACATCGCAAGGACGATGGTGAGAGCGTAGTGGCAGGAGCCTCTGGTGAACATCGGCTGGGTAGAGGCGTTTACTTTACGTGCTCTATGCTGTTGTAGTACGCGCCAATTCGATGTTAAACTATGGTTAATCAAGCATTCTAGAATCGCACGCTTTGTGCATGCTGATAACTAAGCCAGGCATCGAATTCGAATCGTCATCGATTTATTAGGAAACCAGGAAACGCCCTCGTGAACGTTCTTCGATGACGAACGAATAAATGAAATGAATGAATGAATGATAGAATAAACGAACGATAGAATGAACATGGATAGGACTAGAAGGAGAGAGAGAGAGAGAGAGAGAGAAAGATAAAGTCAAAGAGAACAATGGCTCATTTCTCATGTTTAGTTCGTTCGACTAATTTCTAAGCGACTTTCGCGAAACAACAAGATCAACAGGAACGTTCCTGAATTCCATATTGATTAGTCTCAGCCTGTTCGGTGCATTAACACCGATGCAATATGCATTTTGAACTCCGTCACGCGAGATAAACGACTGCTCGTTCGAGTCGAAAGCATTTATGGTTGCCCTCAGATGCATCCAAGTGAATTTCCTTCCATGATATAAGCCAATGTCGTTTCTTCTTCTTCCTTAGAAAATTTTTAAATTATTCCTCTGATGTTTATTTAAGGATTAAAAAGGGATAAAGATAACAATGTTATCGTTTCTTATCTTTTTTTTTCGTAAGATAATCTTTAAACAAATCTTAGGATCTAGTAAATTCGAAATGTTTGTTATTATTGTTATTATTATCATTGTTATTATTAATGAAACTTAAGACTAATTAGTTGGATTAGAAATATTTTCTTTCGAGTTAAACATCTGCATTATTAATTAGATGTTTCCCCTTGGCACTTTAAATGCTCCATCATTTACGTCAAAGCATTCCGTGAATGCGGTTACCGACGTGGCTTCACCTACTACGAACTACCAAGGGAATTTAATTTTGCAAAATTAGGTCGTGCACGTATAATGTGTGGAAGTATTAAAATAATTCCTTCTTTTCTCTTTATCGTTTGAAACTGTTCACTTCTCAAAGAAGTTCTTCTCATTAGATGACCCCTTCGATTTCTTTAATAATCTTACAAATTTTATAATATCTTTTCTAAACATTTTCAAGATCTACCTATAATCTTATTCTTTTCTGACTATATATATATAAAATAAAAATAACAAAATACCTAATTCATTTAATCTTCGCTAAAATGCCGAAATTCTTGCCAGAAAAGTATTCTTCTTTTAATAACAAGACGTCTGGAGTACGCTCAAAGAACGAAAATGAAAGGATCACGTAAACCGTCTTATTATCACTCGAAACATTAACTTTCTTCCCTTTTCTCTTCTTACTTTTTCCAGTCTATAGTTATACGATGACTAGGGTTTGAAATGCTTACCACCCTGAGGAACACATAGGCGTTTCTTCGAGCAAGCATCGAATCCTAGCACGTACGAGGACATAAATCTGACAGTCGTAGGAATCTATGAACAAAAGTGGAGCCACTTACACGCGCGTAAAGTAAAATTTATGGTAGGTGTGGGAATATAAATGTGCAGCGTATCATAAATTCCGCTCGTCCAAGAACGAAGCGCACGCCTGTGGTCCAACCAGAGTAGAACAGAAGAGAAGAGAAGAGAACAGAACAGAACAGCGCAGCACAGTACAACAGGAATATACTAACGATATTGTTCGAGGCTTCCACGAGGCGCCAGACCAGGCCTTGTCCTCTTGCCTTTCATTCTCGAGAGAGAAGGAGAGAGAGAGAAAGAGGAAGAGAGAGAAAAACGATTTATTTTATCGGCCACTACGTCTCGGACCCATGGGATCACCCGCAAATCACTGCTCCCTGTGTATACTTCCTATACCCTTATCAAACGCTTCCCTGCTTTCTAGTTTCTTTATTATTATTATTATTATTATTTTATTTTTTATTTTCCTCCTACTATTCATCGTAAAAGCGTATAACCGACTCGAAGGTCAACCAAGGTTGAGAACTTCGAACGAGATATATTGATTCAAATTTCATTTTATTCATATTATCTGAATTTCACTTTCATGATTTGTATTAAAGTGTATATAAGAATAAAGTTATCTTTCAAATTTTGATATGTTTTGAAGTATGATGTCGTAGTGGATAAATTTGATAATCTTTCATGAACTTTATGATGATTCATCGTTTTTAGGTAAATTACATATTGCATCAAATGAACATTCTTCTTCACGATTTAAATATAAATCTTTCATCTTTGACAATGGACATGGCATATTGTTAGGACAATTTGGTAAATATTTAATACGTTCTTGATGCATAAAAAGAATGCTGGGTCCTTGTGATTCGCAACTAAAATAAAGAAAAACTTTTAATAGCATATATATTTATAAATATATAAGAAGATAATGAATTATACTTACTTATATAAAACAAAAGCTATATTACTTGCAAAAGCATCAATGTACGTAGTTTTCCAAGCTCTGTTATCAACATTTAACCAAAATGAATCGTGCGTTAATGGTACCGTATTTTCTACTGCTCCTAATCGTGCTAATAATTTAAGGATAGTTCCCGAATGTGTAAAATAAATTGATGCTAATATCCCATCATCTTCTCTAAAAAATATTAATTGTGTCAGTTAGAAAATATAATAAACAATAGTACTGATATAATATTTTATATATAATTCTTACGAAAAAAATTTAAAGATATCTTTAAAAACTACACATGCTTGTTCATAAGTGATCTTGTATCCATATCCATCAATCCAATAATATTCTAAATCCTCTAAGTATTCAATAACCTTAAAATATTTAAATTTATATTAATACATGTTTTATTTTGTTTACTCTCTTATTTATATACTTATATATTTATACTTTGAACTCATCCAAAGACAATAATTTGCACCAAGAAGAATCCGTATCCTTATACCATGCAGTTTCAAAGCCACACATGGTATAAATCAAATGTACATTTTCTGAAACATTAAATTTATAATACATTTTTTTTTATAAATTATCAAACTATTCAGAGTAAATATAATTAAACAATAAGCAAAGTTTTTAACACGCAAACAAATGCAAGCATTTCAGAAAAGTGCAATTAAGCTGATACCTAACAATATTTCATCACACAATATCGATTAAATGCAAACCATGATTAACTGGATAGCCAATTCTTTTTGAAATACTTTTCAATGTATTCATGAACACTTCACTTCTCAAAAATTTGTCTTTCTCAATGATTGCAGATGTATTTTTATCAACTTCACTACGCCAGCGAGTACAAAGTTTATAGAACTAAAAAATGAAGTGAAATGTTTATATATATATTCAATAAATAAATATATATATATATACATATAAACATCTATATCTATCATTTTATAATTAAAATTACCCTTAAGATAGGGTCTTTATGTTCTGCTTTAGGATACCAAACATTCTGACTATTGAACCAGCCAAATAAACCAGCAGCAAAGTATTTAGCACTTTCTTCAGTTCTTTGTGTCGCAGTATATTTGAACTACAAATAAAATAATTTAAGTAGCTTATAAAAATGAAAAACATTTCAATTATACAATATGAATACCTTATAAGATTTATTATCATATGTTTCTGGCATAATAGTAGGAAATCTAGACTGATATCTTTCTGCAAGATCAATCATTTCGTTTTCTCCTTCCTCTGCAAGATTCATTGCATCGTTTTCTGTGAATCTCATTTTCCAATTAGCTAAGTTAATTATAATATCATGAGATAAATTAGTTTCATTCATTTTATAATTATTTAATATAATTTCCTTTAATTTTAGTAAATCCTTTGCCATGCGAGGTACATATTTCTTTCCAGGATACCGTGTACCGTGTCTTAAAATCAGCCAAATCTTTTTTGGTACACATCCTGAAATAAATAGAAGACAAATTAAAAAATGACAAACATATTATTAATTATTATTATTTAATCCAAATATAAGTACATACCTGGATATTCAATAGGTTTATCGTTGTGAGAAGCTATAAATCTATAAGGTGTTTTTGTTCCTAACCTACACTTATAATTATCGTCTTGTATGAAACAATCATATGCAAAGCAAACAATATTAGTTGTTAAAAATATAAAAATTATACGTAAATTAAATATCATTTTGTATATATATTCCTTTCAAAAAATTGTCATAAGAAATAAATAAATAGATAAACACTCAGAACATAAGAATCCATTTGGGAAAATATCAATTATAATATTAATCACGAATTATGCAATCATTTTAACTTATGTTTGATAACAAATTTTGAATATTTAGATGACAGATTTTTATAAATTTACTATCGGTGTCTATGTACTGTGCACAATTTTTTAGGTTAGGTGTAGATGTCTCTGATTGATCAAACTTTTATGAAAACTTGCCTTAGTGTCAACGAAATAATATTCTTTGAATATAAAACTATTAAATTAATATTATTATATAAATTAATAAAATTAATTTATGTGCTTTTTATTCTCTAAAAATGTGCACATAATTCAGTGTCATAAATATTAGATTTTTATTAAAAAATCTTTATCAATCGAGAAATGGGAGTCCCGGCGATTTTGATGGATGACGAATGAACTAAGCCTACAACATATTGCACAACGTTTCGTATTTGTAAGATTTAACCATATTTTTAATGACATTGTTAAAATTTAACATCTTTAAAAATGATATAATTATTCCATAGAATTTGATTATTTCCTTTTAAGTCGATCAACATCGTATTTCAATTGTTATAAACGTTTCATTTTATCGTGAACGTATCTGACATTATTATTTGCAATATTTTGAAGAATATCAACGAATAATTTTCAGGTAAAAAATTCAAATTCTTTAGGTGTATAGAATATATCAATATTGTTTTATTAAAATTTGAATATTTATATAAAATATATATCTTAAGTAATTCATTTAATATAATTTTAGTATTTTAAAAGTATAATTTCATTTTTTATAGTTTATTATTTATTTCTTTTTCTTCTCTTTCTAAATACATACTAAAATTACAACCAAATTGTAATTTTATTTCTTTTCTTATTTGACAGTTGAAAAACAAATTATTTTTATATTCAATTAATTGATTCTTTTTTATAATTTACAGTTTATAATCTTCAGTAACAAGGAAATCAAGATGCCTGAATTACCACGCATTACTCGTACACTGCGAATGTATACTAATTTAGATCGTACAAAAAAATTATTAGAACTTGCTCCTAATGATTTAATTAAAAAGCGAGAAGAACAAACGAACAAATTGAAAAGGTAAATTACAATATTTTTAATTTCTTCACTATGATTGGTGTACATATTTTTTATATTTCTATGATTATAGCGGTTCAAGTTGGTTCGAATTATGTAAAATTGCCCCGGAAGAAATTTTGCCTTTGCTTAATAAATTACATGATATTTCTAATAAGATTTTCCGTAAGTAATAAAAAATGTAATAATTTAAATTATAAATATTAAACTAAATACATTTTTCTAATCATTTCCTCTTTTTGCAGATGGTCATTCCGCTGAAGTTATTAATGAATTTTCCATTTTTACTCTACGTCTACTAATAGATTCAGAAAGTATATCTCAAAAACAATTGGAACTTTTACGTCACATGGCTGGTAATTTATCGAAACAAGATATAAATAAAATTATGCAGGTATAATTCTTTATAAGTATGTATATATATCATACAATTGAATAACATATGACAATCTAAATAATTTATTTCATTTTATTATTAGATAATTGAAGATATCCGTGATAAATTGGACACTGATGCAATTGAACGTTTAATTAAATTAACTGACAATGAGAATTCTAATAATTCTGAAAGCAATTTTTTTGGGTCCAAATTTTCTTACAATTCAGCTAAAGTACTTTGGCCCGATACCGGTATGCTTCGCAATATGGCAAATTTAGGACAACATACTAATTCATTTACTATGGCTTATGAAACTAAAGTTCCCCTATCAAGCAAAGATGAGGTACTTTTAATATCTTCTGTGTTTGTATCTATACGCAAACTAAATATGAAATTAAATTTGAAAGATTTATATTTTTAATTATTGTTCCAGTATTCATCGCAGTTCAACAAGTCAGTATTTGTAAAAGGTTTAAAAAATTCTTATGAAAAGTATTCAACGGAAATGTCTTTCGACAATTTTGGAACAGTAATAGTATCAAAATTGATCAATTCTGAAAACATTGAAAATGAATTGTTTGATTTACTAGGCTATGAACACATTGAATTCATACAATATATTATTGCGCATAAAAAAACTATCATAAGCACTTATGGTGTTCAAAAGGTACCAAAACTACCAACTCCACAAGGACCAGTGATTAGTGGACAAGTGACGGTACAATCTGAAGAAGAGAAACAATTATTGAAGCAAGTCCGTAAAGAAGAAAAAAAATTTAATAAAATTACGAGTAAGAGAGATGGCAAAACTGAAGATGAAGAAGTAATTGATCCAATAGAATTACGTTTAAAAAGAAAAGAAGCATTAAAAGCAATGTGTACTCCACTTTTCCCCAAAAGAAATTTAGTTCCTGAAAGATATAAAGAGAAATTTCCATTCGTCTTTGATTCCAAAGCGACTACTGAAAATTGCGCAGGCTTAATTTCAGGACATAAAGTTATGTTACCAGAAAATGTTAAGATAAATAATACTAATTTATGGGAAGAAGTTCATATACCTATTCCAGATTTACAAGACATTAATGTTCCAAATGAACCTGTTATGGTATCTTCTTTGGACGAAATCGGACAAATTGCTTTTAACGGTATAACATCGTTAAATCGAATACAAAGTATAGTATTTAATTCTGCATACAATACTAATGAAAATTTATTGATTTGTGCTCCCACTGGAGCAGGTAAAACTAATGTTGCCATGCTAACTATAATTCATGAAATAAAACAACATATGACAAAAGATACTACAACAAATCAATTTAAGATTATTTATATAGCTCCAATGAAAGCATTAGCAGCAGAAATGACTGCTAATTTTAGCAAAAGATTAAATCGTCTTGGTATATCTGTACGTGAATTAACTGGCGATATGCAATTAACAAAACTAGAAATTCAACAAACTCATATGATAGTGACGACTCCTGAAAAATGGGATATTGTGACAAGAAAAGGTACAGGAGATATTGCTCTTACAAGTATTGTGAAACTACTAATTATAGATGAGGTGCATTTACTGCACGGTGATAGAGGTCCTGTTGTTGAAGCAATAGTTGCTAGAACGTTGAGACAAGTAGAGACATCTCAAAGTATGATCCGTATAGTTGGACTTTCAGCAACATTACCAAATTATGTAGATGTTGCAAGATTTTTAAGAGTAAATCCTTACAAAGGTTTGTTTTATTTTGATCATCGATTTCGTCCTGTTCCATTAAGTCAAACATTCATTGGAGTTAAAGCACAAAAACCAATCGTACAAATAGGACACATGGATGAAGTATGTTATAATAAAGTTATCGAAATGGTCCGTGAAGGACATCAAGTTATGGTCTTTGTACATGCTCGCAATGCAACAGTTAGAACGGCCAATGTAATCAGAGATTTAGCAATAAAAAACGAAACGCAAAAATTATTTGTATCAGATGCACAAGAAAAAATTGCTGGCAGAGCATTCAGTAAATCACGAAATAAATATCTTCCTGATTTATTTAGCTGTGGCTTGTCAGTTCATCATGCGGGTATGTTACGTTCGGATAGAAATCTTGTTGAAAAATATTTTTCTGAAGGTTTGATAAAAGTATTGGTTTGTACATCTACTCTTGCTTGGGGTGTAAATTTACCTGCACATGCTGTCATTATTAGAGGAACAGAAATATATGATTCTAAACATGGTACATATATTGATTTAAGCATACTTGATGTTTTGCAAATTTTCGGTCGTGCTGGTAGACCACAATTCGACACGTCTGGTCACGCAATTATAATTACAACTCATAATAAATTGTCACATTATTTGTCACTTCTAACTAATCAAATACCCATTGAAAGTAGTTTCATAACTTACCTAGCAGATAATTTAAATGCAGAAATTGCATTGGGTACAATATCAAATGTAGAGGAGGCAGTCGAATGGTTAAGTTACACGTATCTTTTTGTACGAATGAAGTTAAATTATTTACAATATGGTATACAATATGCAACTATTGCAGACGACCCAAATTTAGAACAAAAACGAAAAGAATTAATTGATGCGGCAGCAAAAGCATTAGATAAAGCTAAAATGATTCGATATAATATACGTACTGGTGATGTTAACACTACGGACTTAGGACGTATTGCTAGTCATTATTATCTTAAATATGATACAGTTGAAATTTTTAATGAATTGTCAGAGAATTTCATGAGCGAAGCAGATATACTTGCAATGATATCACGTTCACAAGAATTTGAACAACTTAAAGTAAGGGATGATGAAATTGAAGAATTAGAACGTTTGAGTCAAGAATACTGTGAGGTTTTACCAAAAGGTGGACCAGAAAATATTTATGGCAAAGTAAATATTTTAATACAAACTTATTTGTCAAGAGGATGGGTTGATTCATTTTCTTTGACATCAGATTTAGCATATATCACACAAAATGCTGTACGAATATGCAGAGCATTGTTTGAAATTATGTTAAGACAAAATAATGCAATAATGGCAACTCGTTTATTGTTGATGGCAAAAATGCTTGAACTGCAACAATGGGATTATATGAGTCCTTTACGTCAATTTTCTTGTCTATCGGCAGAAATTATTAAAAAAATAGAAGATCGCAGTATCACAGTAGATAAATTAATAGATATGGATGTTAAAGAAATTGGAATAATTTTACATAATCAGAAAACAGCTGCATTGGTAAAGAAATGCTGCAGTGAATTGCCCTCTTTACAAATGGAATCTATCATACAACCTATTACACGTACTGTTTTAAGAATACGCTTACAAATCACTCCACAATTTCGGTGGAATGATGCAGTTCATGGAAAAAATTCTGAAGCATTTTGGATATGGATCGAAGATCCTGACAATAATCTTATATATCATCACGAATATTTTATTTTAACCAAAAAAATGGTTTATAAAAATCTTGAACAAGAAATTGTAATGACTATACCATTATGTGAACCATTGCCCAATCAATATTTAGTAAAAGCAATAAGTGATCATTGGCTCGGAGTGGAGAATACGTTATCTGTAACATTCCGTGATTTAATTTTACCAGATAGTCATCCACCGCATACTGTTTTATTAGAATTACAACCATTACCTGTGACAGCATTGAAAGATTCATCATTTGAAAGATTATATAAATTCTCTCACTTCAATCCAATTCAAACACAAATCTTTCATTGTCTTTATCATACGGATAACAATGTTCTCCTAGGAGCTCCAACAGGCTCTGGTAAAACAATAGCTGCAGAAATAGCTATGTTTAGAGTATTTAAACAATATCCCGATCAAAAAGTTGTATATATAGCACCATTGAAAGCTTTGGTTCGAGAGAGAATGCATGATTGGAAAATAAGACTTGAAGAAAAATTGGGGAAAAAAGTGGTTGAATTAACAGGAGATGTAACACCTGATATCAAAATTATTGCTAATGCTAGCATCATAATTACTACTCCTGAAAAATGGGATGGTATTAGTAGAAGTTGGCAAACAAGAAATTATGTTCAAAAAGTAGGATTGATAGTTATAGACGAAATTCATTTACTAGGAGAAGATCGTGGACCAGTACTAGAAGTAATTGTTTCTAGAACAAATTTTATTTCCTCTCATACTTCAAGAAAATTAAGAATTGTTGGTCTTTCCACAGCATTAGCCAATGCAATTGATTTGGCTAATTGGCTAGGGATAAAAGAAATGGGTCTTTATAATTTTCGTTCTTCTGTTAGGCCTGTACCATTAGAGGTTCATATCAGTGGATTTCCAGGCAAACATTATTGTCCACGTATGGCAACAATGAATAGACCAACTTTTCAAGCAATAAGACAACATGCACCTACTAGTCCGTCACTTGTTTTTGTATCTTCGCGCAGACAAACACGTTTGACTGCATTAGATTTGATTGCTTATCTTGCAGCAGAAAATGATCCTAAACAGTGGTTACATATGCCCGAGGAAGAGATGGATAATATTTTAGAAAATATTAAAGATTCAAATTTAAAGCTTACTCTTGCTTTTGGAATTGGTCTTCATCATGCTGGATTACACGATAAGGATAAACAAACGGTTGAAGAATTATTTGTGAATAATAAAATACAAGTATTAATTACGACAGCGACATTGGCTTGGGGTGTAAATTTTCCTGCACATTTAGTTGTGATAAAGGGAACAGAATATTATGATGGTAAAACGAAACGTTACGTGGATATGCCAATAACGGATGTGTTGCAAATGATGGGACGAGCCGGAAGGCCACAATTTGATGACTCGGGTGTAGCTGTTGTCCTTGTACATGATTTAAAGAAAAATTTTTATAAAAAATTTTTATACGAACCATTCCCCGTTGAGTCAAGTTTGTTAGCGGTGTTGCCAGATCATATAAATGCTGAAATTGTAGCTGGTACGATAAAAAATAAGCAAGAATTCTTAGATTATTTAACGTGGACATATTTCTTTAGAAGATTAATGAAAAATCCAAAATATTATAATTTGGATACCTTAGAACCTCTTTCAATCAATCAATACTTGTCATCTTTAGTGGACACCACATTGAAAGTATTATTGGATTCACATTGTATAGATTACAGTGAAGTACGTGTCTATGTTTATATTATTTTACATCACATTTTCACATCATTTTAATATTTGATTATTATTTGATTACAGGAAGATAACATACTGTTTCCTCTTTCAACTGGCAAAATAGCATCCTTTTATTACTTATCTCATCTTACTATGTTAATGTTTGAACAAACATTAGTAGAAGATCTTCCATTACATGAATATTTGAAAATCTTATGTAATTCATGTGAATATAATGAACTTCCTGTTAGGCACAACGAAGATTTAATGAATGAGTAAGTATAAGTGTAATATCATATATATTATTTTTTACATGATACAACTAATCAAATATATTTAACAGGGATTTGGCAAAAATGTGTCGCTATCAAGTCGATCAATATACATACGATTCACCAAATACAAAAGCTTATCTTCTATTACAAGCACATTTTTCAAGGCTTCCACTTCCATGTACAGATTATAATACTGACTTAAAATCAGTCCTTGATCAAGCTATTAGGATAATTCAAGTACGTATTGGAACAAATAAAAACAAAATTTTCTTATATACATAAACAATATTTGTTCATTATTTATATTACACATTGGATTTTTCAGGCAATGATAGATATTGTAGCAGAGAAGGGTTGGTTAGCAAGCACACTTAGAATAATGCAATTATTACAAATGGTTATACAAGCAAGATGGATCGATGAACCTGCAGTCATTACCTTACCTCATATAAATAAGGAACATTTACCTTTATTTTCTTCTTTACCAGCACCTCTTCCAGTATTATGCGCTACTACTATTAATAATTATAATCGACTTGCTAAAGCTTTAAATAAAGAATTTCACGAAGAACAGATACATCAGGTATAAATTTACATTATTATTTATTATTTTATATATTTCTTTTTCTTGTTCTATTTACAAACATTTATCTTACTTAAAATATTTCTTCTTAGATACATCAAGTTATTAAACAAATGCCAATGTTGTGTATTGATCTAACGTTACATGGAAATTGGGAAGACGGTAATGAAAAAAAGATACCACTACAGACGAATTATAATCAAGTTATTGATCTTCGTGAAAATGAAGAATATACATTAGTCATTAAAATGAAAAGAAAAAATCACTCTAATGCATTAAAAGCACATTGTCCTATGTTTCAAAAAGGGAAAGATGAAGGATGGTTTTTAGTATTAGGTGATATTTCAAAACGAGAATTATGGGCCTTGAGAAGAGTCAATGGTATTAATGATCATCATAAAATTTATCAATTACAATTCACAGCACCTCGTAATATAGGTAAATTTTCATTTTATTATCTTATTCATTAATATGTATTTATCCTGACTTAATTATTTAATAATTACTTTAATATTAATGTTTTAGGGTCAATGAAATTGACATTTTATTTAATTTCTGATTGTTATATTGGCCTGGATCAACAGTATGATATACAAGTAAATATAATACCTTAAAAATAAAATTTAAATATGTAGAGAAAGTATTAGATTTATTAAAAGATAGTAAATTTATTTCATATAATATTTTGTGTATATATTGTACAGCGATGTAACATATTAGGTATCTATGAACACAAAAAATATATTTTTCTTTACTTAATTTTATTAGACAGCTATGAAACGAGACGTGTGGATTAATCCAGATTTTTCATACAAATATAAACATTATTATTCTTAGTATATAAAGATAGAAAAAGCAACATGTACAGGATCACTTTTACAATTCCATAGATATATCCCTATGGAAGTCTTACAGATAACGAGTTATTTGTTTGTTTGTTGTTTTATTCGTTATTATGTTCTATTTGATTATTTTAAGCAGAGTTTTGTGAGTTAACGTACTAAATAGCAATATTAAAAAAGAAAAAAAACATAACATATTTTTCATTTTTATAATTATACAAAGAAATTTGTAAGAGTATAAAAAATAAACCTATATAAATGAATATTTAAAAACTATATATGTTACAAAACACTGCTTTTGTATCGACCTCGTTTCCTTCTTAATAATATATATTATTTAACGAATAATATAAAGTAAGAATTATTCCATTTGTGTAATCATATTAGCTTAAATAATAAAATATGGGATAGGAAGGATATGAGATCATTCCATTGCTTTGTTTTGAAAAAATTATATAACATGTATTAAGTTTTGTGGGAGTTCATTAATACCAGTTCTTTTCATATAATAATATATGAATTAACACAGAATATGCAGTTTTACTAATGACATAGAAGAGATATATTTTTCTATTTTTCTTCTGTTTTTTCTTTTTTCCATCGTTAATAAATAAATAAGTAAAATAATTTTGACTAGCCTGAACATTTTTATTATTCAGTTATTTTTAAGACACTGAAAATGACTAGATAATTACTCTTTAAGGTTTATTTTATCTCTTATCAAAATTTTTATTCGATATCTACGTAATTATAGATTTTTATTTTAGTTTCTTTCTTTTTTTTTCCTTTTTATTTTATTTTGATAGATAAAAAAGAAAGATATTTTCTAGTTATTTTTATAGAAGCACACTAAAAAAATATTTTACCCGTATATAATATTTGGACATCTGGTTTGAAATAGTTAAATATTGAAGGCATGAAGTGAAAGATTTTTTGTTCTCTCTTCATTGTCAGTAGTTATACTTACTCTCCATGTATATATACATATATAAATTATGTATTATATATAATTATATAATTAACTACACATGGCTGTATTTCCAACCAAAGCAAAGAAATACTTAAGCTCCTTCCTTTATTGCAATAATTATGGAAGTACTGAATACGATTTGTAAGTATTAAAAGAAAATGCACTTATACAAAAAACATTTTGACATTGTTAGTAGTATACATTCATTTGCGTTGTAACAATCAAATATTTTCTTTTGCACACAGGGTAACTCTTTCATATTTGTGATTATTAGTATCAGCCATAGTAACTTTTTTTTGTTTCTTTTTTTCCCTTTTCTTTTATTTTTTTTCTGTTTTTTTTTCTGTTTTTTTTTTTTTAGTAGTATCTTATCTTATGGTTCATATAGTCGGACCTTTTACATTATGACTGATAGCATTATTAAATTTAGTTACCACATTCATCAAATGTCTTTACTCTCAGATGTTATTGATCATAAAAGAATAATCTACAACATCACTCAAGAACTAAGGAAGCACTTGCATAACTAACTGAGCTATCATTCATGTTATTGCATTGACTACTTTGAGCATATTTCAAAAATTTTAAATTCATTTTTTGACCATTAGTATTTCCTCTTAAACTGTGTATTGCCTGAAATTGAGATATTATATTAATAACTATTATTAAAAATAATTCAATGTCTACAAAATGATAAGAAAAAATTAAACGTTCTTAAAAATAAAAATTATATTTAATATTACCTGTAGCAAAACACCAATTGGATGACGACCGCATATAGTATTGCCATATTTTTTAAGATAATCGGTAAACACTGTAGGGTTCAATGTTTCTATTATATCCATGCCCTAACAATAAGCAACGAATGAAGAAATATTATTTAAGATTAGAAGATGTTTAATAATATTTCATTTTTATACGTAATATTAATACCTACCATCTTATCAAGATTTTGGATAGATCTATGAATCGGACCACATGATCTATCATAGTATGTATATCGAAATCTTTGTCCCCAATGACAAAAGTCTGAGGAAATAACGAACAATGCTTGAGGATCAGCTAAATAAGGTGCTAATAATCTTCCATAAAGAGCTTCTCTTTCTGGTGGTAAAGATCCCACTAAAATGGGGATTATAGTAAATGAATCTTTAAATCTGTAACAATATAAAATTATATTTAAAAATATATAATAATCTAAGAAATATTATAATACATCATTTTTGATTATACGTACTCTTCCATAACTTTAGCTAAAAATGGTAATTGCATTTCGATACTGTGTTCCTCTTCATCTGTGTTCAAATCCATCCATTCGAAATGTCCTGTCTCTTCAAGTTCTCTCCGCACTGTTATAAGCATAATGTAAAGAATAAAAATTGTTAAGAAAAGAACATGTTGATCTTATAAACATCTCTTAATAGTTAAACCTTTCACTATGAAGGCATGTTTATATAATATGTCTTCAGAAGATTGAAAAAATGTATATATATATATATATATATATCACATATAAAACGCTAAATTTTGTATATAAGATATTATTATTATTAATTGAGTATTTTCTTTTCATTTAATAAAATTTAGTTACTATAACAAATTTCATCATAAAGTTTAGGAAACAAAAAATACAATGTCAGTAACGTACTTTATCTAAAGTGATCATATTTTGTTATAAACCATAGTAAAAGAGTTAATAGTTAGCAGTTATAATATATTTTTAAAATTATGTATACCTTGTTGATCAATATGTAAATCATATAACGGTGTTCGATACATGGAAGCAGTAGACAGGGCACATCCTGGCAATCTCACATAATGAGAAGGGCCTAGAATAAATATCTTGCGGCTGCATAAAAATATATTACTCATTTTATATACATATCTTGTAATTTGATGACTTTTTATATTAATAATTATATTTATAGTTAATAGATTAAACTTACACAACTACAGGACTAATTTGACGATATGCAAAACCAGCACATCCTCCGCAATAGCTATAACCTGCATGTCTGAAAAAATCCAGTCGCTGTTAAAGATAAACGAATGAAAATAATAATAATATAATATTCTATAGTTACTAACGGGGCAATGATTGCCCTAGCAGGTCCATGAGATAGGTCTGCTGCACCCAGCCAACCTTCTAGTTGCTTATTCAATTCTGAACCTACAGCATATATCGCTAATTCAGATTTTGGGATTATCTTTTAGGACTTTTTCTTTTTCAGAAATATATAAATGTTTGTGTATGCATAATATTCTTTCCATATAATTTTATAATTATATAGATTGTGTAGCATTTTATCTTTTTTCTCCTGGATGTTAGAGTTTCGTAACATTTCAAACGATTGATTATAATCCTTGAACCTGCATTAGTGCATCAAAATTATTAAATCACTATTTAATAATTCTTTCATCATTTATCAAATAAATCTAAACTCTATAAAAAAACAATTTTTACATTTATTTAACTTTATATTTATGATGTATATGTATATGATCGAGCTTAGGATACAACTTTGATCAATCATTCATCAGTTAACTTAATATTTAATGCACATTTTTTTTGTTTTTTTAAGAATATATCCAATAATTATATGTTGTGTATGATAAGAAATATTTAAAAAAAGTATATTGCAATATTCTTAATTACAAAATGCCTAAAATATCATAGATTAATCTATCTTGTCGAAATGTCCATTCCACTGATAAAACTTAATTACTATTCATTAACAATTCTGTTTTAGTATTTATAATTTATGATTCATATATTCCTGTGCTATAAAAATTTCAACATATTTTAATATAACATATTTTTAATAAAGTATTACTTTCAAAATTGAATATAGCATTACTCTTCGCAGAATAATGAAATTGACATAGCATAAAAATAGAAAGTAATGAATATTTTTCTTATTTTGTCATGCATACAAATATTATTTATATTATAAAAGAAATAATATTTTGAATATCGCTTACCAGAATCTGAGTACCAACTACCAGCATGAGTTGCTCTTCTAATTAATGCCATATTTATATTTGGCTTGAACAACCTTTCACGTCGTGTAGTATCGATTCTATTTTCAATAACTCTTAAGAATTCTTTCATAAATACAATATAAATATAATTTAATAATTTATAACTATACTCGCGCGCGTGAAAAATGTTTATAAAACTATCACTAAAGTACAGTTCAGTTTTGTTCATAGATTATATAAAGACGGCATTGAAGTACATTAAAAGAGAAACTATACATTTCAGTCTAAATTTATGCTGGTCAAAGCACCATCTAGTAGTCAATTTTGAAACAGTCTTCATTCATATACATATATATATATACTGTATTGTTTTATATACATATGTATATATATCATTTATCTTATTACCTTTATATATTTTTTTATTCTAATATGTGAAACTATATATAAAATTATTTATATATACATACATATACATAAAAATCTATTAATATTATTAATGCATATAATATATATTTATATGAGAAAAAGATAAAAAAGATGGCGTTTGAGAATAGTTTAAAGTGGTGGGAGATAAAGTTAACCAATTAGCATTCAGTATTTGGGCGTATGTTGTAGCACGATTGCTATCTTTACTGCTACTTTAGAATTGTCATTGATGTTAGTGCCATGTTATTCTATGATTTTTCGTACCTATAACCTAACTTATCAGTAACTATTACAATAGCTATCTTTTAGTACTTTGAATAAATCTTATTTATATTTCAAGAGTTACGTATAATTAGATAATATTGCTATATAATAATTCGTAGATGATTTATAAGATTAATGTTGATAAGATAATTAGTAAATTAATAATAACCTTTATTATTGCTAAAACAAAGAATTAAAATATGCTTTTAAATAAAGACAACAAATAGATATCGATGGTAGCTTTTGTAATAAAAATATCGCAGTTTTTAATTTAATAATATTTTAATTGTTAAATATATTGTTATTAGCAATTTTAAGTAAAGCTTTTAATGAAATACAAAAATTATATTTTTAGATTAAAAATTTATGTCATATGTTCATTCATGTTAGATACTTCTGTAAATTTGGTTTAGATGAATTGACATTCTAAAATAATTATTTATTATTATTTAATTGATAAACTCATGTATCTTACATATTGTAATAACATTTACATACAATTTAATAATTTTTATTATATAATCAAGTAATCATAAAAACCTAATAGTTAATGAATATAAAATCTATAAAGATTTTGTAATAAATTGTGAGAAATAATTAATTGTTTTAATTTGTTATAGTTTATTGCTTATTGAAAATAAATAAAAATGGCTAGTACATCTAGTGACCAAACTACAATCGCTCAAAAAACTTGGGAGATGTCAAATAATGTTGAAACAATTAGTACTGTCGATGAAATCTACAGATATGACAGAAAAGAACAACAAGACATATTGGCAGCTAAGCCATGGGACAAAGAGTAAGTCTAATATAAATATATTATCATTTTTATAAATTTAGATTACACATTATTCTTTAGAAATGTATAATGAGTAAAAAGTTAGACAGGTAACCCCCCGTATAACACGGTAGATAGGTTCCTAGAAAATGCCCTGTTCTGTGAAACTGTGTTGTATGAGACCCAGAGGTTTTCAGGCCATGGAACTGAAAAGAAATACTTTTAACAACACTGTATTTTTAAAACGGCAAGCCTCACCGCGGCTGTAGAAGTACAGTGTTGTACAAAGGTTTTTTTTTTTAAGGAAACCGTGTTGTAGGAGGACTACATGTATTTAATTGTTCTAATACATTGAATTTTTGCCAATATAGTCCCCATTTCTTCAAAGACATTAAAATCTCAGCATTAGCATTGTTAAAAATGGTAATGCATGCACGTTCTGGTGGAACATTAGAGGTAATGGGTCTTCTACTTGGAAAAGTAGCAGCGAATACAATGATTGTTATGGATTCTTTTGCATTACCTGTTGAAGGGACAGAAACAAGGGTTAATGCGCAAGCTCAAGCATATGAATATATGACTGCGTATATAGAAGCTGCAAAACAGGTGAAATCAATAGAATATTTTTTTCATCGTTTAGATTAGACTGTAATATTTTGTTTGACATGTTAAAATATCTTCTTAGGTTGGCAGACAAGAGAATGCTATTGGTTGGTATCATAGTCATCCAGGGTATGGATGCTGGTTATCAGGTATCGATGTCTCTACTCAAATGCTTAATCAAAATTTTCAAGAACCATTTGTTGCTATTGTAATTGATCCTGTGCGAACTATCTCTGCTGGTAAAGTTTGTTTAGGAGCATTCAGAACTTATCCAAAGGTATGTAATACAATTTATATAAAATTATAAACTATAATGTATTATATATTATGATTATTCTTTATCTATAGGGATATAAACCAGCTAACGAGGAACCATCAGAATATCAAACAATACCTCTAAATAAAATTGAAGATTTCGGGGTACATTGTAAACAATATTATTCTTTAGAAGTATCATATTTTAAATCGTTATTAGATAAGCGTTTGTTGGACTCCTTATGGAATAAGTATTGGGTGAATACTCTTAGCTCTTCTAGTTTATTGACTAATGCGGATTATACTACAGGACAAATATTTGATTTGTCTGATAAATTGGAGCAATCGGAAGTTGCGCTTGGAAGAGGATTTGTTTTAGGTGGAACAGATCCACACGATCGTAGTACCGTGGAAAAACTTATTAAAGCAACACGCGACAGTTCGAAAACTACTATTGAAGTTATACACGGTTTAATGGCTCAAGTTATTAAAGACAAATTATTTAATCAAGTTGGAACTAATATGACAGATTCTCATTGAACACTGACGATTATATTAATTTTTAATAAGTTAATTTAATTATGAAAAATAATGTATTTGTAATAAAAATGTGTTATATAATGAATAGTTGTAAGATACACCATTCTTGTCTTTCTAGTATCATTTTTTATATCTCTTTATAAAACAAATATGTAATATATAGAAAGTATAAAGGAAATGTTATTATTCTTTTTTAGATAATTTTTCTATTTAGATAATTTTCAAAACAAACGTACAAGACGTATATTTTAAAGACTTAATGGAATAAAAATACATTTTATTTTCACACCTTGATTTGCTAGAAAGTATATATACAGCATCTTTATCATTACTCAATATCTTCACAATTGATTCATATATATATATATATACATATATTAGAATATATGTATATATATATATATATTTATTTATTTATATTTATATTTATATTTATATATTTATATTCATATTTATATTTATTTATAATCATATTTATAAAACTAATATAGCATAGAGAACAAGTAGGCAGAGCACACCCCACTGAAGGGCTGATACTGTGTCACAGACTTTAGGACAAGGCCACTCAGAAACACACCCACCTGTTCTGCTTTCGCACTCCAAACATTCATATCGCACAACATATAAAGGGACGGAGCTAAAATGCGCGTACAATTATACTAATAACATATCTAACAATATTTCATAATGTTAATGAAAATCTGGCATGATCAAAAAAGCCTAATTCTACTAAAAATCAACTAAGGATGTGCTAAATTTTTGTGTTAACCATATATATTAAGCCTATTAAACTTACAAAACTATAAATTGTAACATACTAATATTAGATTTAATTTAATAAAATTAAGTACATTATTCTTCTGTTAGTTTACATTGTATAAAAGACTGAAAAATAATCTTTCCAACGTACGAAATTATTTTTGTCTGTCACACTGCCATTTTCCTAAGTATGTATTATACATTTTTATAGACCTCTTGCACTTTTTATTTTTATAGCAAGCATAGTTTTATACAGATAAAAAAATAAAAATTAGACCCCTTTTAAAATTACTTGAATAGATTAATTTTCTTCACACGTTCTTTGAAGACATCGATAAATAACCAGTTTTGTTAAAATTACAAATTTCTAAAACTTTACACAATTTGAATAAATTAGATAAGGAATGTAATGTTTGTTTTGTGCAAAAGTATAAACAGATTTTTCATCATTTTTTCAGTTGTCATCTAATTTCGTGACATATTGACAAACGAATTCTTAAATTACATTATAATTTTAAAAAGCAAACTTAAAATGAATTATACTTAACAAATTTTAATAGTGCGATCTAATTTTTCTATCATACACGAGGAGCATGATTAATTTTGAATTATATTTTGAAAAGTTATATTACATATTTAAAACATATAAAAAGCTTCTTATATACCGTCATCAATTCCTCACATTCTACTAATCACTGTTTAAGTATTAATTACAGTTTTTTTTTGTGTAATAATAAATTCAATTTTTGATATAACTTTATTAGTTTAATTGTCAATGATTAAGAATTTTTTCAAGTTCTTGTAAATTATGATAGTATTATTTTAATAAAACTTATTCCCCTCTCCTCCTGATACAGAGTAATGAAATATTTGCAATCAAAATCAATTTGATATAACATCCAGAATTCAGCCCTCTAATGTTACTATATATTTTTAATACATTTCTGAATTTGTATAAACACTGCACCCTTGACGTTATTATAGCAAATGAGGGATATTATAATGCACATATTCAACAACGTGTATGTAAATAATCGCAACGAAAGTTTTTTGTTTTAAATAAAATAATCAAAAAATTAATACTATATAATATAATCCTAGTAATTGTATTATTTTTATATTTTGTAAGAATTCCATTTTGTATCTCATCTGTATAAGAACCTTCATCACTTCTATATGACTGCACCTATCTATTATTTACAAGGCAATCGAATTTTTTCTCATTTGTTACAAATATAGTAGAAAAGATCAATTATTACAGCAAGGATTAATTGTTCATTATATAATAACAGGACAACAACACTTTTAAGAACAATCATAATTCATCCATACTATTAAAGAGATAGATTGGAGAGATTCTATTATGTTTATCCAATATTTTAATATATGGAAATTAAATGAAGAGACAATAATATCATTAATTTGACAAATTAACGGAGTAGTGTTGTATCCAATATTATTTTCCTACCTTATAATGTCCTGGTAGAGAAAATATTTACAATGATATATTTATTATTATAATTACTTCTTTTTTTTTCCTTTTTTTTTTCTTTATAGACATGCACCATAATATGAATGATATTTTACATTATTTTTCATCATGTTTACCGCTTTATTCATTTAATTACCAATTATGCTTGACGTTTTTTTGTAAAATGTCGAAATTAATATTGTTATCACCTGCTCAAACAAGCATTATTTTTTTTCTTTTCTTTTTTTTTCTTTTTACTTTGATTATTATCTACAAGTATATGATGCATGCATATCAACAATAGAACAGAAACAAATATGTTTGAACAAAAACAATATGTTATCTCGATTCAAAACAACTTTCTACCAGTGATATACTTTAAAATACTTAATGAAAAGAAAACTTTAGAATATTACATACAATTTCGAACAATATCTAATAATGTGTAATATACATAAGTAATCTGTACATAAGTAAAATAATTATGATATTGCTTAGTATTGAACACAGGTTTGTGCCTGTGAGCAGGTGGGGATGTCCTTTTTCAATAAGAAATACTAATATCGATATGCACATGCCATAAAATAAACACTATTCGCACTACACGTGCTGATGATGTTTATCAATCATTCAATGAATAAAAAAACAAAAATGTTTGGTACATTTTTTTTGTCAACACATATTTTCACTTTATCTCAAAAAGAAAGTGAGGTTGTATATGGTCTATAATCAGACTTAATTAGTTATTAGGCAGGCATATGTACAATTGTTTTTTGTATTGTAGAATGTCACTGTGATACCAATGAAGGAAAATTATTTACTTCTGTTTGTTCTAAAATTGGCCCTGCTGATCCAGTATAAGAAATTCGTAGTCTCATTCTTAGTGGTACCTAATTACACAAAATAAGTTTTAACAAAATTATTGTCAAATATATATATATATATAACTAATGGATATAATTTTATAGAAAATAGCCTATTTTATAGATACTTTAATAAGCACATTTAATAATTTTGAAAAAATTAATGTATATTTTTATTTATGGAATAGACAATTTAATACGGTTTTAGGCAGTTTAAATGTTCATGAAATAACTGGTATTTGTAAATATAAAAAAGTGCAACTCACGTTATTGATATTTGTAACTCTTATCACTTGAGTCACTTCACCTGATGGAGGAATAACTGTACTTGATGGTGGCAGCATTTGTAATTGGAATGTCTAAAACGTGTAGAATATTTGTTCATTAGTTATTATACATATATGTATATGAATAAAAATATATGTATATTAAATTGTATACCCTAGGAACTGCAGCTTGAAATAAAAATTCACTTAATGCACTATTCGTAGAATTATGTGCCGTCATATTTATAATTAATAAATCTGTAATATCTGGCGGTCTCTCCATTTTAAAAGTTATTTTAAGTCCAGATTTATCCAAAACAATCATGCTTGGAATTTCTATAATTATAAATTAAAAATTTAATTTAAATAATCATTAACATTATAATCATGGATAATAGTATTTCTTTGTATAATACAAATACAAACCAATTGGAATTGAAGAATTATTAAGTAGGCCATCTACCAAAAAGTTTGTTGTACTCGTAGGATTAAACATTTGTGTTGTTGATTGTGATTGTTGAGGAAGTACTAATGGTGGTGCTCCTGTATTCATATCCAAACTACCAAGTAAATCTAAAAGATCGTTGTTATTTATACTTGTTGTGGGAGGAGGTGGATTTTTAGTTGTTACTGTTGACATTGTCATTCCAACATCGGTACTTCCAAGCAAATCCAAAAGTGCACTCTGTCAAAGATAAATAAATACATTTTTACCAACCATCAATTAACACATTTTATTTATATTTATATAGTATTAATTTGATACATACTGAATCAGACGAGGTAACAGATGTTTCTAATACTGTTGATTTTTCATCTTCTTGTTCCGGTTCACCATTCACCATACCAATAATACCATTTGCTTGTGGTCTTGCAGTCTCCATTGGAGGCATTCTTTCAAGTAAAGCAGGTCGTAAATGATCGTATTTTCTAAATAATTGTGAAAATTCAATGCCCCGTTGTTGTAATTCAATATGCAAATTACTACCAAACGTGTCTATAATTTGTCGAATTTTTCTGTAAAATAACAAAATAAAATATATAACTTAAGGTATATAAATACTTTTAAAATTTATCTGAATTATATAAATAGAATAAAAACTTTATCATTTTTTCAAATGGAATGATGGTACTTACTCATTTCCTTTTTGAAATCTTGTACTTAATTTTGTAAGGGATAACAAAGTATATTGTTTTGTAACAACTGTGTTTTGTGGACTCCATAATAATCTTTGATAAACATCAATAACTTCATCTTCTGTTAACTAAAATATAGAAAAATCAATCAGTATGAGACAATTTTGAATGTATCAAATATACAGATGATATCCAACTAACATTTATTGGTGCATCTGCATCTTCCAATGGTGGACCGTACAGTAAAAGATCACCATACTCTCCGATACACCACGTTGCTACTTGAGCCAATGGTTGTTTATCAGATGTATCCTTTTCTAATGCACGCCATAGTGCACTAACTGCATAGCCTTGTTGCGATTGGGTTTCTGAGATTAATTGAATTGTGCAAGCTACTACGTCATCTCGTACATAATTGCCAGCCTGATAAATAAGGATAAAATTAATAACTATTCAATTACGTTATTTTCTATAATCTATAAATAAAGTCATTATTATTACAGTGTACGCACAGCAACAAGGACTTTAAATAATGTTTCCAGATGCCAACGTTTATTCGGTGCAAATCTTTCTGCAGACATTACTATGTTGCTACTGCATTGAGCTTTAAATTCAGGATCTGCTCGTTCTAAAAAGAGTAGTAATTCTTTCATCATATTTCTAATATTACTTGAATTAACAAGTGCAAAACTTAGTTCCATTGCTCTCCTTCGTATTGATACATCTGGATCTTTTAAACACTCCTGTAATAAAAAAAAAAGAAAAAAAAAGGAAATACGTGAGAAAAAATATTACCAAAAAAAAAAAGATTGTTTCTTCTTTTTTTTTAATTTTATCAATCGTTTAAAGATCTTACCAATATTGTTGAACGATGCCTCTGAACTGCACTCGTATCCACATAAACTGTTTTCAATAATGTATTTAACGCAACGTAACGAATATTTTTGTCATTATTTAATAAAAATCGCCCTAGGATATTAACTGCCAATACTCTAAGTCCACTTTCGGATTTAATATCCATTATTGAAAGAACAGTTTCGTATAATATTGTATTACCAACATTTTTACTTGTTTCTGTATTTGTAGCAACTTGTGCAAGAATATCATTCATTGCCTCAGATGCATCTACGTCGTTACGTCCCAAAATTCTAAGAAGACGTAAAATCTTCACTTGCAAAAATGGATCAGATACTCCGGCTACGTCATGCTCAGGAGAATATCCAGCTAGTACTAAATTTTTCAGAATTCTTACTAGATTTGGCACAATCTGAAATAATAGTATAATTATTTAAACATCAAAACTTATTCTTAATAAAACAAAACAATAAAGCATATTAAAGAAAAGATGTAAGTAGAAAAATATAGTAGAGATACTTGTTTGTAATTGTTAATGCTTATAAAGAATAAAATAGAACAATAATAAATATAGTATAATATTATATATAAAGGAAATTATTTTAACAGTAATTTTATAACATGCTCTTATTGATACGTAAAGACATATGGATACATAAATCCTTATGTTTAACTTCCAACCAGAATACTGAAATAAATTCTTAAACTAAATATCACATTTTTGATACTGAAAGAGATTGTACATCCAGAATGATACAGCTATAATTTTTCTGCACCACCTTAACCAGCTAAAGATTAAATGTATATTTAGAAAGCAGATAACAAAATACATGTGTACCTAAAGCTTCATTCAGAAAATAATGAAGAACAAATATTTGGAATAGTAAAGAAACATATTTAGATTTGTTGACTATAGATAGATTTACAATTATTAATAGTATAATTGCAAGCAGCATAACAGAGAACCTTAACCATTTAATTCATAATTGTAATCCCATGTAAAGTAAAAGAAAAGAATGAAGTCTATGTATGAAGCATAACATGCAAATATACATTAAACACTTATATGGCTTTTACCTCTCGATGGCCGCATTCCTGAAGAAAATAAAACCATATTTATATTATGAGATTATAATATACAAAAGCAATTTGGAAAATTTCATTCATACATATATATATAAAATAACAAAAGAATAAAGTTTATTATTTTTAAATATAATGAAGTTATTGATATAATTTTTGTTATCATGAGACTGCATTCTTTTCCATTTTTAAAGCATTTTCATTAAAAAATTGTATGTGAATTTTACTCACAACATTTATTAATGGTTGATATATAAAAAAATATTTAATTTTCTAAAGTGTATCTAAACAATTGACTTATTGTTACTTCTTTGTTCATTTATACTACATTATATTTCTATGTGCTATCTAAAATATATTTGTATTTAGAAAGATAAACATACCTTCTTGAAATGATTCAATGTATCAATGCTATTCTCACACATTTCAGTAATAAGAGTAACACCAGTTATTAACACTCCATGGTTTTTTTCTGTAATTAAACTTCGAGTAGCGGGTAAGAACATCTCCATTAATTCTGGTACACGTCTAATAATTCTAAAAGCGCATAACGCAGCTTTTTTTCTAATATATGCGTTCGGTGATTTCATCAGTCTTTCAACTTCAGAAGCAAGGTCCCTTGCCATTTCTGGCGATGCAATAGCACCCAAGGTACAAAGGGCCAGACCAATTACAAATTGTGTAGGACTATTTAAGTCGCTATATGTTGAAAAATTAATAGTTAGTAACATTTATTATCATTTTAAATATAATTATAATATGTCTTATTTCAGTTTGAAAATTCTCACGTTTTTAAACAATTTGTTATTAATAAATGAACATCTTGTCGTTCATCTAATAGTAACATTGCTCCCAAATAGCCTATACGTTTATCTGTAAACCTGGATGATGCAATAAGTTTCAAACATTCTAATTGTCCAAAATGTGCTGGATATCTAAAAAGTATAATTGGTAATGTTACTGAAATTATAAATAATTACTACAAGGAAAAAGTTATGAAACAAATGTTTATTACTGACCCAAGCATGTGAATGTACAAAAGTTTAGCGATGTTACGGCATCTCCAAACACTGTCCTCTTCTCTAAATGTTGAACGAATATAAGCACATTCCTTGTTTACTACTGTCCTTTCTTCTGCCGCTGTCCGAGCTGCTCTTATTTGTCTGATCAAGTCTCTCAATCTTGTTGGTGCCGGCATTCTAACTGTTGAGACTTTTAAATTACAGATGTGACATCAGTGCATTGTGTTAGCAGCTCTATGATGAGTTAAAGTGCAATGATGATAGTCATTCTCATGAGATACCACAATGAATAAGCATATATTGCATATAAAAAGCATTTATAATATATTAAATATATATAAAAAAGAATGTATACCCATAAGGATAAGAAAACAATATAAGGTACTCTATGTTATGCATATATATGTATATCTAAATCATAAAATTATAAATGTAAAAAATATATACAAACATAATAAAAAAAAATAATTTAAAAAATCATATATTTTCATTTGCAAAGCAATTATAGCTTATTAAAAAATGTATGACTTAAAGAAGCTTGCTCTTATAAGCAAAATATAAAGTTAATACTTGAAATAGAATGCATATACTTAGGCATTGTAAATATAAACATAATACTTACCTCTTTCTACTGCCTCATTGAAAGCTTGTTTTATGGAAGCCATGTTAAAGGCTGGGTTAAACCTGAAAGAATACACACTCAACCTACTATATGCACACAAATGTTACTGTCCACTTTCTGTTTATGCAATGACACTTGTACTCATATATTTAATTTCAAGAACAAGCCCATCTCTTAATGTCTTTTAAAAACAACTTTCGATATTTATAATGAATCAAGTATAACAAAAGACATTGCCAATTATATATATTAAATTATAAAGCAAAATACTTAATAATCTCTTAAAAGTATCTATCATTTATCATTTATCAAAAATTTAGGAATAGAACGTTACCCATGTTCTGAGGCATTCATGGTTTCACAGGCTGGTTTTGAAATTTAATCGATAGACGTCACTAGTAAAAATGAATTGGTGATGATTAGGGAACACGTTGCTCTCCTCCTATTAGACACACGATAGTTATATTACGGATCATGACAACCATTAAATAATTTTAATTAAAAAGAAATATTAATAAATATAAAATCACAAGCACAACCAAAATCAAACTGCCTAACAGCAACCCATTCAAATTATAAGATAAACATGAATGATATAAAAAGAAACCATTAGTTTACGCATACAAAACATCATCAAATCATTACCGTTAAAACTCTCGCAATCATATACATATAATCCATTCATTTAAAACTATAATGTGATAACAATTTGAAATCATATACGACTAAAATTATAATATATATAGAAGTTATACAATAAGCAGCGCACAGAAAATCTATCAATAAAGAATCAACATTTCTTTCCATTAACATCTTTCCATGTGACATTGTGATTTAGTCACATGATACAAAAAAATAATACATGAAACAAACTTGTTTAATTATTAAAATAGACAATTTATAAGATCCTAATTTAAAAATATTTTTTAAATCTTAAAAGATCAAAATGATCATCTTCAAACGGACTTCATAACACTGTCACATTGTAAAAAGATACATAAGTAAATAGATAAGAAGAAAAAAAGTCGATTTTAAAATCCAACATTACATAGTAGAATTTAAAGTGACAAGTGTATCGTAAACAAAAGATAAACTGGTTTAATGTATAAGCAAACGAGAAGAAAAATAATCTATTAAAATAAAGAATGAAACGCGTTACTCGTTGGAATCTACCGTGAGTCCTTGAACGTTATTCGATCGCAATTTCACGTGTCTATTGACCACGAAAGCATGCTCGACGCAAAACTTGGCAGCATATTGCAAAACGTGTGCTTAGAAACCGGTTACATAAAAAGCCTACTCTTCGCGTTTATTAAGGGCTGCATCGAAGGTAAAGGGTTAACTTGCTCAAACTCTCTTTCTTACTCTTTCTTTATGTGTAGTTATCTATCCATCCAAGCTCTCTCTTTCTCTCTCGCACACACACAACAGACACATCACACACATACACACAGAAAAAATCTTTCTTGTCCCCCCCACCCCTTAAAAGAAACTGTCATAAACGATACCCGATCGACGTTGAACTGTGGAAAGAAGTTCTCTCACGGGGACGATCGAGAATCGTACAATAACGAAATGACACAATGCCGCGCGTCCTCGAATTTTCTATCGTGTCGGCCACTTTTCTTGACACGCAGCAAACTCCGTATATGAGAAAACGGCGAGAGAAATGCCTCGCCTCCCAGGTAGGGTATCACGAATCGGGCGCCCTCGCATATACTTCGCACACAGTGCGCCGCGCCTGATTTTCTTTCTCTTTCTTTCTTTCTTTCTTTCTTTCTTCCTTTCTTTCTCTCTCTCTCTCTCTCTTTCTTTCTTTTTCTTTCTATGCTACTTCTACCTCTATCTTGCTTCCTCACTCTCTTTCTTTATTTCTCTTTCTCTCTCTCTCTCTCTCTCTATCTTTTTTTCTCTTACTTGTAATCACCACCGTACACGATTATTCTCACTTAACAGTTATATCGTAAATTCTAACACAAAGTTTCCTTTACGATAAACAAATCTCTTTAATTTAGTTTATAATACAGGTCCGTAAATAATCGTTCATAATCGTAATTACATGAACGTCTCTACAAGCGAGCAGCCTGTAGAGCACACGACGAAAAATCGTCCGCACTACGCGCGCTCTATCGTATGAGGAGAATCAAAATGGCGGATCACTTGTCATCTATATACCATACCACATACGTTCATCTCTCCCCTTTTAATATAGACTCTATATTTGTCTCTTTTGATTGCGTGTCAAACGCAACGTCATCTGACAATATTCGTTGACGTTATTTTTACAGACAATTGTCTTAAATCAACGATACTGTTATCTCAATTACTTTACTCTTCTTTTCTATTATTCTTTTCTATTATTATTTTCTTTTTTTTACGTGTGTTAATTTTTTAAATTATCACTTTTAAATCTTCATCATAATTGTTTTGTCTTACTTACACGTGTAACCCATATTATACGATTACTATGTGGATACAATAGCATGATTCGAAAATAATCAATCCGTCAAAAATTGATATATTTTAATGTCTATACTCGGTTGATTCATTCTTTTTCGTGATAAGATAATTAGCTTTTATAATTATCTTATTTTTCATGTATCGAACAGAATTTTCAAATAATTTATTATCGATTGTATTTTGCGATTGTATAAGTGTCATTGCACAATCGTACGTGGATATACATTATTTATATATTTGTTCTTTTTTTTTTTTAAATATTTTATACAAACGTGTATTTTATTTAAAGAAGAGATAACTATACTACGATTGTGTAATTTAATCGATAATTATTCACATAATTGTATTAACATTAAATATATATTTTCTTAATGAAAAATTAATTATAATGCTTTTTGAATGTCAATTACTTTTTATTAAAATTTCATTAAACCTTAATGTGAATGTGTAATAAAATGTAATATTATTTTTTACATTTTTACATTTGTTTATTTAACCGTATATATATTTATACTTCTTAAACATACATAAATATTTTTTATTAGAATATATTATATTAAATTTTGTTTGGAATTGAATGTATAATAAAATATAATATTTTTTTAATAATACTTTTTATATTTTTAAGTATTTTTATTTAACTGTGTATACTTAGGTATACATATATATATAAAATTTAGAACGCAATATATATAACGTGAATTTTTTAAGAATCAAATTTATGTAGATCAATAGCACGATAATATAAACAAACGTACCTTCGATTGAATTCAGGAGGTAAAACACTCCAGTCTTCGGTCTCGTAATAAGGCCACATGATAAAAGTAAAAAATACAAACTTTTCTAATTGATGAGACACTAAAATATTACTTATATATCATACAAGGTACAGCTGCACAACCACTTTTGAACACTTTTATCGCCATTATAATACAACACCGAGAGAAGTGTTGGCATTATCTCTTATCTCCATTATTATCTCTATATCAGTAACAACCATGTTAGTCATTTGGATATTCTTTAGAAATGACTATTAATTTCATTATATTATTAGTTATGAATGAATTGGAATTAATTAAACAAAGTTGATAAGTATTTTTTTATTGATTAAGACATTGTTATTGTAGTTAAAAGATTAATCTATATTTTTAAAAAGACTGTATTTTATTTATATAAACATAACATATATATGGAACAAAAATTTCTATAATATTGTCAACGATATATAGTTAATAATTAAACAGGAATGTTTTAATTATGATAAACAACTGTCGTCTTGATTTCGGGGAGGTCGAACATCACTATTTCTTTTTACACAGTCCACAAGCCAATGAATTCCTTCGTCTACGCCATCACTTTATCATTAAATTTTTTAATTATTTTATATTATTAAGATTATGAATAGAAAGAATTTATGAATTTTATTATTTTTTATACAATTCTATAGGTAATATATTTTTCATAGAAAATAAAAGATAACAGAATAATGTAGAAAAACAAAAAAATCTAATAGAAAATAACTTGAGCATACCCGTTAATAGCTGATACAGGCATTACCATACAATCTCTTCGTCCAATTAGGTGTGCATTTTGATTAAATATCGGTTTGACTTCTCTAACCCCCATGCAGTCTGGAATATCCTGTTTATTGGCTAAAACTAAGAGGGGTACTCCTCTCAAATGTTCAGATGATATTACCCTATCTATAATGTCAAATAATAACGCAATCATTCCCATAAAAAATTTTAGCACGATAATAAAAAAATATTATTCTACTATAATAATATATATGATATATCTGTAAGATATTATATACATCAAAAAATTACCAAATGTTTCTTTAGAATCCGGTATCCTATCACGGTCTGATGAATCAACGATATAAATGACTGCATGGGATTCAGCATAATACTGTGTAATTAAATAACCATGCTATAAATAAACATTGTGTCTATAACTTACAAGATGAAATTACTGATTATATACTTTATCCCATAAGGATTGAAGTTCTTCTTGTCCTCCAAGATCCCAAAAATTAAAACGTATTCCAGCGATATCAATTTTTCCAATATTCAATCCAACAGTTGTTGTGATTTTACTTGGATTCATACCTTTATAATTTTTTGTAAATTTAGTTTTAGCCGCTTCTAAATACGTCTAAAAAATAAAAAAATAAAAAAAAAATAAACATAATATATAATTTAACTAGAAGACGTAGTGACGTATAACCTTAAAAAATTTGTCGTTCTACACGCACAGTTTTTCCTGCATTGTCAAGTCCTAGTATTAATATAAAATATTCATCCTTCTGTACTAAGTACTTATACAAGCCGTGTAAAAGCGTGTACATTTCAAAATATTTGAATAAACTCACGTTTAACCTATACGTTTCATGTTGTTTATATTTGACATATATTATAGTAACTTATCGAACTTGACAATAGGATCGTTTCGATAGTTCCAAACTAATCGATTAGTGACTATACGGTAATTCTTGAAATATATGAACAACCAATCACTACGAAGATATAAGAGAAAGACGTCTTTACATATCACTAGATAATTAATAAATGATCAAAATAATAGCATAATAAGTATTTAAAAAATAACATAAATGAATCAATTTTACAAAAAAAATCCAAGAAATCAATTAATCGATTGATTAACTTTTTCACTACATTAAAAATATGAATTTTTTGGACAAATAGTAAATAGTAGTTTTCACATAATTTACTATAAATATAATAATTATATATAAATAACTATATTAAATATCTTATTTATAATTATATATAAAAGAAAGTTTTTATATGTGTGTTATTGAAAAAAACTGTATCTTTTTGTATATTATTTTATACAAATGTTAAATGTATACAAATTTACTATACAATATCTGTTTTCAATTCCTCTATAAAGAATCAATTTATTTACATAATAGTTATAATGTTATTTTTTTAATGAATTCCAGTCTTATATATACTCAGAAATATCTAACTTTATGAATTGGTTCATAACCAATAAGAAATAAGACTTAGAGCGTATAAAAATACTTTATAGTAAATCAGTTCCTTAGCGTGAAAATGTTTCTTTTAAATGATATATGTGGATACTTCCGTTGCCATTCTTGAATTTGCGAATCACTGATACCTTCGCAAAAACTGAGATCGATCATTTCCAATTTAGGACACCATAATAAAAATCCATAGCACATTTCAGGAGTAAGAGAACGTGCCCCTAACAAATCTAATTGCTGCAAACGTTGACAAAGTAACAATGGTTCTAAATCTCTATCCGTTAATCCTCTTAATGCTGTCAAAAATACTTTTTCTAAATAACGACAAGAAGACAATAATTCCCTTAATGAATCACCTGGAGCGCCCATTCCATTACTATAAGCATAACATATAATCATATTGTTATTAGTTTTTCCTAGTAATTAAATAAAGTTTAATGCAATGATACATACCACCAACCAAAATCTACTTCTCGAAGATTAACACATCGAGCAAGAGCTCTTACACCATTTGGCGTAAGAGTTTGTGTTTTCCAAAAGTCTACACTTTCTAATTTTGGACAAGAGTTTCCTAACTCAATAGCTATTTCATCCATATTTAAACGTTCACGTATTCCTGCTAAATTTAAATGTTTCATTTGAGGATTTTTCCTTAAAATTGAACACAAAATACAAGTTTCCGTAATGTCTCCATTTAGTTCTAGGCGTTCAAGGCACCGTAGTCTCTCTATCTTTGAAAATCCATAATTTGTAATACGGAAACAATTACGTAAACATAATTCTAAAAAATAATTTAAATAAGATTTATGATATACAAGTAATGTATGCATTGAAGGATTTGAAAACATACCTTTTAAATTTGTACAAACTCTTGTAACTACAAGCATTGCATTATCATTCATATAGCTACAGCAATTTAAACGTAGATGTGTTAAAAGCTTACCACAAGAACGAATAAAATTGACAAAATCTTTGCTATTAATCATATTGTAATTACCACACCATGATAAATCTAAACGTTGTAAATATTGACATCTTGGTATCAAATAATTTAATGCATTATTATCCAAGCAGTCCCAATATGGCTTTAAATTCAGACTTGTATATAAAAGAGCATCTTTTGCTATATTACTTAAGTGTCGGTTTACTCTGCATAAACGACAGAGTGTCTTTAAATCTAAATATTTAAAAATTTTAAAAATCGTTTCATCCTGTAAATCAATATAATAAATATATAAGCAAAGATATAAAAAATATAATATAGAGATCAAATACTTTACCGGAAGTGCAGAAAAACTGCCGCACGATCGATTATCATCGTTGTTTAAAATTGAGAATACGTCCTTGTCATTTGGTGAAGATATCCTACATATTGAAGAGGATGAAGAAAGATCTCGTTTAAATTTAGGAAATTCTTTTTGCAAAAATTCTTGGAAATTTTTAAATGCTTCTTCGAGGGGTGGTACAGAATGGCAGTGCTGTCCTAATGTAGTAACTAAGTTTCCATTAGATATATTATTCATTATTTGGCTGTAAATGTATATAAATATATAAATATAAAAGTATACTTCATAGTTCTTAAGAAAAAATAATATTATTATATAAAAACAAATATATTTTTACCTGTTATAAAGAATGCAGTATTTATAAAACATTTTTTTAATGATAGACAAATCTTGATTTGCTGTTTTTATATTAGGAGTTAAGTTATATATATCTTCATTATTATATTTATTACCGCCTAATTCTTGTAACAAATTACTTAAATTTTGATGGTAGGTAATATGATCGCGAGGCACTATCAATTCAGATGTTCCAATGAGCAATACAGCATCCAATTCCGTATAGTAATCTAATAAATCATGATTAAATTCTATTCTAACCCTTCTTGTTTTAAAATGACATGTTTTTAAAGGTGGTGAAAATATGCGTGCTCTCTCAGGTACAAATTGTGGGGGTCCACTCCATAATTGAAACCATTGTTTTTTGTAAGGTTCTTGTACCCATATACCAATCACGCTGCCAGGATTATAGGTTTCATATATTGATATTCGAATAGGATATACATCTTGTCTATACTGAAGATCTTCATATAAGAAAAATTATATTACTTTATAATCTAAGCATCACATATACAAATATCTAATCTTTCTTTTATCATGCATTACATACCAATGTAATCTTGGCTAATTACACTGCCATTATTTTGTATCATGTAATCCTCTAACCTTGAAGGTGCTTTATTCCACCATGGTCCATATGTTCTCTAAAATTATTATTAATTACCTTGGATCAAATCAAAGTAAATTTAGCATCACTGACAAGAAACATAATCATTACAGTAACTATAAAGTTCACAGATTTTCAATAACATTAAAACACGATGAAGATGTTTAACCTCTTAAGTAGCAAACTCGAGTTAACTCGAGCGGCGTTGTATTACGTTGAGCTAAAACTGATTTTTTTTGCCAACTTTTTTATAACAAAATTGTTCCTTAAGGGGTTAATTATACATACCATAACAAAGGCTTGTGGAAAATCTCCATAATCAGGAAATTTACTGGGGGATCCAGTAAGATTGTATGCTGTGTAGGAAATACTGGAATCATGCCCATACTGAGAACTGAAGCTACGTACACGGTCAACAAATTGTTCAAGAAAAATGATTTTTTTATTATCTGGTTCAGAAAATTTTTTGTTATTTGTTGATACAATATCAAATGCAGCTGCGTCTTCACATAATCGGTAGAATTCCATCATGACGGAGATACAAACACAGAAGAACAAACGCTCTAAATAAAAAGTGTCCACCAAATAAAGTTTTAGTCCAGAGTGCGCTGTAATTACTAAGGTGTTAGGGATCCTATAGGATCCCTATGACGTGAATGCGCTGTAATTACTATCGTTCGTTCTTCTGTGTTTCTACCTCCGTCTTTACGATCTACCACACGATTTACTAAAAAAAAGCTCATTTAAATATTATGATGACAGTATATACAAGTGTTGACGTAAACAGTCTTCATCAAGTTAAAGTTTCAGTTCATTCTTAAATCTTATAGGATAATATTGCTTTCGTTCCGACAGATGGTAATGACTGGGAAGAACAATTATTGTATCCCTTCATTTTATTATAATTCACAAATATATAAATATAACAAAAATATATGCATTTACATATACTAAGTTTTAAGTCAAAAAACATTTATGAATATTTGTATTAAATAAGGTATTAAATTAAATAATATCGGTAATGAAGATTTCTACAGTATCTGCTTTTGATGGACAAATTTTCAATTGAATGTTGAACCACTAGTTTTATATATTTATTCTATGACTTAACAGTTTAGTGCACGCATCGATATTATGAATAGCAATTTAATAGTTTGGACTTTATTTCAGTGTTAAGAAATAAACAATTAAAAATAAGTTAAAATAATTAAATACAAAATGTTTAATTACGGTCTTAGGCATAGTATGTTTTTATTTCAAAAATTACAATCTACTTTATCATTTTCATTTAATACGATAAATAAAACATGTTTTAACCTTAATGGAATTCAAATAAGTGATTTTATAAGACGTAACTTGTGTCAAACTGTGCAAATAAAGTCGAAAGAAGAAATAGATGAATTTCATCAAAAAGAATTAGATAAACTATTAGAAAATCCTGCATACAGTAAAGCGTATAAATTGTTACAATATGAAATAGAATATATGCGAGAAATGAGCGAAAATGTTCCCAAAGTCATTCGACCAAAAGATTATATATATTTATTAAACTCACCTTCGAAAACTCACCAAAGGTAATTTTTTAAATTTTATTTAAATTTCCCAATAAGAGAAGAAGAAATAATATTCCATTGTAATGAACTATCATTATATGTAATAAAGTATTTTAAATATTTATTAAATCTTAGTACTTTATTAACAATGTTTTATATTAAATTATATTATTGTAAATGTATATATAGGGTGTCTTATAACTGGTAGTACAAACAAGCAGGAAGAGCACTTGTACTTGACCAATTATTACGAAAAGTGTTTCAATTCAAGTGGTTCAAAATCACCGCCTGCTTGTTTGTATCACCAGTAACAGTACACCCTGTATAATAGAACTAATTTTTAATCCTTAATAGTTATTTTATTTGGAATTTATAATTTAGCATTATGTTTATATTTATAGGAAACATATTCGATTTCTTTTTTGCAATGAAATTAAAAGAGAAAATTTGAAAGAAAAAAGGAAACAAAAATCAGAAGAATTACGTTTAGAATTGGAAGAATACAGAAAAGTATGTCCTAGTGGTTTATTATATGGTCTTGGACACAATTCTCTATTCCTGCGAATATATGACCAAACCTTAGATAGTTATTTAAACTATAATTCAGCGATATATTCGAGGTTTGAACCAAAGATAGTATTCGATTGTGGATACAATAATGTCATGTCACCATTTGAAATAAAGAATTGTGCTAGACAATTAGTACTATCTTTAGTCTTCAATCGTCAGCATAGGACTCCAGCTGAACTTTATTTCTGTAATGCAGCACCGGAGAATGAAATAGTTACAACACTTCTTAAACTGGTACCAAATCTTTATGAAGATACTTTTCCAGCAAATGTTACTCCTCTTTCTTATCTTGATATGTTCGATAAAAACGAATTAGTTTACCTAACACCTCATTGTAAAACAGAAATGACACATTATGATCCTGATAAAGTTTATATTATTGGTGCAATGGTCGATAAGGTAAGATATATTATAATATAAATTTCTTCATAATATTTCATTTTTCTGTTTATATTTTTTTAGGCATCTCCTCAACCTTATTCTTTAGCTAAAGCTAAAAAGGAAAAATTACGTATGGAGAAACTGCCATTAGATAGATACTTAAACTGGGGTTCTGGAAGTAACAAATGTCTTACCCTCAACCAAGTTTTAGCTATATTATTAGATATAAAATATACTAAAGATTGGATGACTTCTTTATTTAATCATATTCCAATTAGAAAATTACAGCCAGAACAAAGAATGGATAGAGAAAAATTTTATGAGAAAATTACAGCCAGAACAAAGAATGGATAGAGACAAATTTATAAAAAAATTATAAATAATAATTTTTTAATTGTATAGTTATAAAAGAAATAAATAAATTGATTATTTTAAGTAATTATTATTTATTTATAAAATTTATTAATAAAATGCTTATACTAGGCAGTTTTTCAAATTTTCTAAAAAATACGAACAAAATTATGAAAAAATGTATTCTATATTTTCGAATTACTTTTTAAAATAGAATGATACTAATTGAAATGAATCAAAGAATACAGAAGTATATAGAAGCTCACAAGACCACATTTCGTATAAAAAAATTATCTTAGTTAGGAAAGGGACCACCAGTGAGCGATAGTGGTAGCCTAGTTGTGGGGAACAAGGTTAACGGAAAAGGTTGATCTGGAGATTTACGCGATAGTCGTCAATTAAAGTAACAAAAATATATAAATTTATTAACAAGATACAACTAAACTCTTGGACGCCATATATAGGACTAACTTACATTTCGACCGTTACGTTCAACTTGGATTTAGTTAGTCTAGTACCCGCATAGGGAGGAAGGGCGCCAGTGTGCCGCGTCGATACACTAGGCACGTATCGCCACATAGTGGTAGCTAGGGATCCTGTAGGAGGGATGCGCCATTCATATTCAGCTCATGTGCCATTGGCTGAAAATTTTGGGGGACCGCTTGAATTTATAATAATTTTCTCGTGTAACCTATTCTATTTTAATATAAATTTTTAATTATCATTAAATATAGTTCATTTTTTTTCTGTATTTAATGCAATTCATTATTTCATAATTATTTCAATGTTTGAATCATTCGCGCGCAAAATCGAGTTCCGGTCCCCCAGCAATGTACATGGCGCATCCCTCCTATAGGATCCCTAGTGGTATCATTTTAGCAGCGCCAGCCTATGCAGTGGAAAGAGACGGAAGCTAAAATCTGTTGGAGACGCTAAGCTATTTCCTACAACTCTTCATTTTCATAGATAGTGTAACATAACCTTGAAGCTTTGACGTTTGTGTGTGGTAAATTTAATAGAAAGTTACCCCCATGAAATAGCAAGATATGATAAAAATGATTGTGATCTTAGTTATTCTTGTTTTAAATCGTATTGTATAACGTTAAAATATAAAAGTATCTTTTACGAATTTGGTTAGTTGAATTTTATTGTCTATGCATCAAGATTTATCAATAGAATTATACATTTATATATGTGATTTGCATTGAAAATGCTCCTTCGTAAAGTATATTAATAACGTAACATTTTAATTATCTTTAAAATTTATACACTTTGTTTTTATCTATTCAGTGATTTTAATTATTTTTAATTTATATTGATTATTTCGAGGATTAAGATTAAACTGAATAGTTGAAATAATCTAAAACATAAATCCTAATTCTTCGTTTTATTTTTTTTTATATAGGTTTTATCATAAAATATATTTAACGTGTGTGTTACTTGGGGTTATATGATGATGACTGAAAATAAAGCTAGCGGAGGCTATCAAGCAACTGTAAATTTCCATGAACATAGATTATTTAAATTGCAATGTTTTATTAAAGTATCAGATATACAGCATAGCGCACAATGTGAATATGAAAAGAGATTATTTTTAGCGCTATCAACTGGAAATGCTGATATCATACTTTATTACAAAAAAGACATATCTTCCATACCGATTATAAAAAGAATTCCTTGGTTCAAAGGAGCTCATAAACAAATAACAGCTTTTTGTTTCGACCCATACGGGTCTTGGCTCCTTGCAACTACAAGTGATAGTTGTTTATACATAATTCCTGTTTTAAAATTAGTCGATGAAAATTGTACTGTCAGCGAACAATGGCGCACTGATGATATAACAATGGTTACGTATGTTGGTACACAATCTTCACATTCCAAGTAAGAAAATAATTTTATCTAAATATATTAATTTTTTTTTATTAATTATATAGGTAACGTAAACTTAATGTTATTATCATTCATTTATGTAAGATTTTTGTTATATCTGTATATTTATAGACCAACAGCACTAATTTGGTGGCAAGATACAAAGTCGTCAACAAATATAGGTATTGTTGGAAACGAATATGGAGAAGTAATTCTAATAAATCTTGAAAATGGTCAGCAAGTAGGAACGGCTCATGTTAATGGACATATTATTAGTTTAAATATTTGTAAAGAAAAAAGTAATGATAGTATCTCACTTTTAATAACATGTAAAACAAAACAGCAATGGCGTTTATTATTGGAACATCGTGCATATAGTTGTTCTCGTCAATTTGAAAATGAAGAAATATTTACGCACTCTCCGACAAATGAAATGATTTATGAAAATACAAAGTCTTTTGCTTCTACAAGATCTAGATTACAAGGACTGAAACAGTTATCAGTAGAAAAGCTTGCTATTCTTAGACAAAAATTAGTTGAAACCAAAAATCAAAACTTAGGAGAAAACACACGATATCATGGTGATTGTTTTATTTCATATATAATTATAAAAATCTTATTCAAGTTTAGTAAAATATGCATTTATTACTTCTACAGATACTGGAACTAATAAAGGTAATAATTCACCAATTCTCAATATTGATTTATGCTCTGAAGATTATGTTGGTACATTGAATCCAGAACAAATGTCAAAAGATACGTTTCTTACGCCACAATATGACAAAAAAGGCCAACAAATATATACATGTTATCATTTTGAAAGCAATCATGTAACCGTAAGAATAATTATATACTATTCTATATATAATGTATATAGAAGAAAAAGGATAAAATTAAAATGATTTTTATGTTTTGTTTCTAGATACACGGGTCAGATTTTGATGCTAATCCTTTGTCTATTCATAAAGTACCTGAAACTTGTGAGAATATTTTATTAACTCATCGATTATTTTTTGTTACTGATGTTACACGATACACTTTATATGTACTATCTGATCAAATGTCTGAGGTCAATCCACACAGAGATTACAAGTTTAATCCAGGATGTATCATTGATCAATTTTCTTTTGAGAATAGCAAAGAAATTATTCATGCTGTATATAAATTTATTGATTTTACAAATATGACGTCCGAGAGATTATCTCACGACGTTGAAAATTCATATACATTATCACCAAAAATGAAAGATATACAAATTGAGACACCTTATGTAGAAACTTGTATAATTGTAACAAATTGTGCAGTATATGGAGTTGTGCTAAGGTAAATCTATATACTCTCATTAACAAATTATATTAAATCATCGAATATTCTATTTTACGTTAATATATATTTTATTTATTTTTAGGAAACCATTATTATCTGTCTTTATGGAATTAGTCTTGAAAAGAAATGAACTTGATAAAGCAGGAAAATTGGCTTTGATATTTGGTATGAATTCACAACAATTATTTGAATATGTTGGAGACATATTACTTACAAATAGAGAATTCCCACGTGCCGTAGCTGCTTACAAATTATCCAAGGTACAGAGCAAATTATTATTAACTATTTAATATTAATATGTTTGTAATTATATTTTGTTCTAAATTAAAATAAATGTTGTTATTACTTACAGTGTGGGTTATTAAAAAGCATTCTAAAATTTGCATCAGCTGGTCACACCTCAGAACTTTTAAGCAGTTTAACACATTGTTTGATTTCTCCTGGTATTAGTGAATTGTCAGCTGCAACAAGAATACATTTATCAAATTTATGTATTCTTGCTTTCATAGAAATGACATTAAGAGCTGCACCACATCAGTCCAAAACTATTTATAAAGATTTCTTGTAAGCATGAAATAGATTACATAAAATAGAATACATTTCATATTATCAGATTTAATTTAATTGATTCATATAATTAATATTATTTTCAGATACTTTTTATCTACAAATTTATTTTATGATGAACTTCTAGCTATTAATATAGCAGGTCAAACCTGTCTTTGGGAAGTTCTACACCATTTGGCTACGCAAAGATGTCTTTACGGACAAATGTTGGATGTTCTTATGAGAACTATACATTTATTTGATGTGAGCAAATCTATGCCATGTAGGTATATGTTTATATTTAATGAAATGAATTAACAAGTTCACAAATAACATGTTGTAAAAATAATACTCACATTTCAGATGGTTTGTTAATATGTTTAAGTGAACCAAACTTGATGCAAGGAATGCTGATAAATCCCAATTTAGCTAGAAAACATATTTCATTTATCATTAATAGTATTTCAGAATTACAAATTTTTGTGTTACAGGTAAGAATATTGATTTCATTTTATTCTTTATACTCACATTTACGTTATATGCATCATAACATTTTATTATGATATTCTTGTTTAGAGATTAATAACTTTATATGATCCAACAAATCCAGTCTTAAGACCCAGATTGGTTAAGTGTAAAGCACGGCACAGGACAACTTCTTATAGTTCTCAATCTAGTCAATGTGATTCTATAGATCTTGCAGAGAATAATGTAAATATAATCATGGAATAATATTATAATTCTGTTTTCTTTTTTTTTTTTTTATTATGTCAGGTTTAATATCTAATTAATTTAATATTTTTATATATAGACAGAATCTGATACATTGGTGGAAGAAATAATAGAAACATTTTTGTTAATACTACTTACTTTGATTCATAAAAAGGTCTTGTTAAATCAAACCTCTAATTTAGGATATAATATCCAATTAATGGGAACAAGAAAGGTATGTTATATTTGATTACAACATGTTATCGTTCAATCATAATTATATTATCAAGTTTTGTCTTTTTTTTTTTTATTAAAGCAAGAACACATCAATCGTATTTCAAGCATTGATTTCAAAAGAAGATCTTTAAGCGCAGGTTTCTCTCATGTTGCGCTTATTAGAAATGGTGATGTTTACACATGGGGTAGTTCTATACAAGGATGTTTAGGTAAAAGAAGAGTAGTATACATTCTTTAATCAAAGATTTATACAAATTTTAAAATATTACAATTTTTTTCATATATGTATATATAATTTTTAGGTACTGGGTCCTCTGTGTTAAGATATGCCTTACCAAATAAAATCAATTTTTTTCGCAA